AGCGGGGAGCCTGCTTCTCCCTCTGCTTCTCTCTCTGTCTCTCATGAATAAATAAATAAAATCTTAAAAAAAAATAAATGTCTGCAGCTTTTTAAGCAACATTAGAAATTAGAAAGAGGACCTAACTATAGCTATAGGAGATAATTTAATTACCACAAAATTTTATTTATGTGATTTTATACAAATTTGAAAATATGAAATGGATAATCTTTTTTTAAAGTATTTATTTTTTAAGATTTTATTTATTTATTTGAGAGAGAGAATGAGATAGAGCATGAGAGGGGGGAGGGTCCGAGGGAGCAGCAGACTCCCTGCTGAGCAGGGAGCCTGATGCGGGACTCGATCCCGGGACTCCAGGATCATGACCTGAGCCAAAGGCAGTTGCTTAACCAACTGAGCCACCCAGGCATCCCTGAAATGGATAATCTTACGGAAAATATAAACCATAAAATGGAGTCAAGAACAGAGCGCCAGACTACGCTAATCATCTAAGAAATAGAATAGCCAAAGATCTACTCCCAAAGAGATACCAGGCCCAGAAGACTTCACAAGTTTACATGAGAATTCTACCAAACCATCAAAGAACAGAGCATTTCTTTGTTATACAAACTGCCCAGAGCAAAACAAAACAACACCATAAAGATAAAGATAAAAAGCTTCCCATTTCATTCTGAGACCAACATAATCCTGCTAACAAACTGAAATGGAAAATACTGCCCCCACCAAAAAACCCATAAGAAACAAATCACATTTATGAACATAGAGGCAAAAATCCCCAATACATTCAGTATTAGCACGATTATGGTAGTAAAGGAATATTACATCATCACTAAGAGAGTTTATTGTGGGATTACAGAACTGCTTTAACAATTATGAATACAAATCACCATACTATCCATTTAAAGGGAATAGAAACCAAATGATTATCTTAGACATTCTATTTGGAACTTGTATCTCAAAGCAATAAGCCCAAGTCTATATAAACCAATTTACAGTCTAAAATGTGCAACCAAAAAAATAAAATGAAATGTGCAACCATTTTCAATGTTTCTGAGCCTTAGTTTTCCCCACTTGAAAATTTTGGAATAATTTAACCTATTCATAGTATTACAGACATTAAATGAGGCCATCAAGGAAGCAGACTCCTTCCACTTATTAACTATAGCCTTGGGAAAGTTATCCCTTTAAGCCTCAATTTCCTAATCCACAAGATAAGAAAGTGGTATCAGGATCAAATATATAATATATATGAAGTGCTCAGCACAGTTACTGTCACAAACATGAACAATTATTAACTTTTGAAAAAATCTTAAATCTTGATGACTCAGAGACCTCTAGCAACTCAGCAAATCTGATTAAGGGTTTCCATGACTTGAGGTTTAGAGGCTTTTGTATTTGTAAGTACTGTAGTCACTTCTGAAGACAGGAACCAGAATCACTTTTCATTTCCTTATACCTGTGGTTATAGAAGGTAGACAAACAGGAGCCTCAGGAAAAAAAAAAAAAGACCAGCCAACCAATTTAAGGGAAGGTAGAGGATTGTTTCTAGTAAACAGTACCTTAGCAACAACTCCACAATCTTTCTCCCTTAGAAACAAACGAACTGCAATGAATTTAATGAACCACTGGAAACAAGTTAGGCTTGGAAAAGATAGCTTGCCTTTCTTGTTGCTTCAAGAACTAAAAGTACACAAATTCATATTTTTTTTACTCCCTATGCAAGACTAGCTTTATCAACACATTTTAATTAATTCTACTGTTCTTTATTTCCACAAAACTTTATGATGAAACAGATTTACCAAGCACCATATTTAAAATAGTGTTATTTCATGTGATGATTCTCAACCACACATTCATGATCATACTTTAGCTGTAGGTCACAAAGTTGTTCTTTCATGATACTTGAGCAATTTCCTTCACATTTGCAATTGATTTACTGTAGTTTTTACAGAATTAAAGATCTCCACGTTTAGGTGATCATTCAGGGCCTGGAACTTCAGAACATTTGCAATATCAGCAATACAACTTAGAGGCCAAGGAAAATTATGGCAATATTCTTTGCTAGAGTACTATATTAGTTTCCTAAGGCTACAGTAACAAAATACAACAAACTTGAGTGGCTTAAAACAAATGAAATTTATTCTTTCACAGTTCTGAAAGTGAAAAGGGTGAAATCAAGGTATTGGCAGGGCTATGCTCCCCATGAAGTCTCTGGGAAAAATCCTTCCTTGCCTCTTCCTAGATTCTGGTGGCTCCTGGCAATCTTTTGCATTCTCTTGGCTTGCAGCTGCATCGTTCCAGCCTCTGTTTGTCACATGACTGTCTTCCCTGTCTCCTCTGTCTTCAAATCACTCTCACTTTATAAGGAAACTAGTTGGATTTAGGGGCCCACCTCAATCCAATATGGCTTCATCTTAACTTGATTACATCTGCAAAGACCCTATTTCCAAATAAGGTCACATTCACAAGTACAGGGATTAGGAATTCAACATAATATTTTAGGGGGCACAGTTCAACCCACAACATGTTCCTACTATTATGAGACAATACCACAAGGACAGTGAAAATGTATCCTTCACATACGAAGTTTTTGCCACCCACTGATTTCCCAACTCTCTAGCTTTAACCCACTAGGAAGAAAATGCCAATCAGTATTAGGGGTACAGTTTATGGATATGTACAAGAAAACTTTATTGGTCAATATAAAGTTTGACATTTATTGAACTCCTACTCTGTGCTTGGTGCTAGAGATAGAAGAAGAAAAGGGTACCCATCTCTACTTCGTTGGAGCTAAGTCCAGTAGCCTGGACTGGTTCCATGACCTTGGTAACAGTAACAGCCTTGTGTTAATAAAGTGAGCAAACCAGTTACCCTCAACACCTCAGCCAGTAAAAGAACTTAGAGAGACCTCCAGTAAATAACACAGTTTTGTTATATACTGCCTATTTCAGCAAAACCTGTAAAAGGTGAGGGGATTATGTCCTTGCTGAAGATGAATTAACTTTTTTGAAGTTAATTATAAGTCTTTGGAACACTAGGGGAAAGCAAAATGGAGAGCAAAGCAGATGGAAAAAGGCTAAGGTTCCTGTCAGCTATTTTGACTTCTTGCTTCACCGACCCTTAACCCCTCACCAAGTAGGAAACAGTGATGTTTGTTTTGCTTGGGTGCCCCAAAGTGCAAACACATTTATCACCAACACTTAGAGTTGCCATTATGGGAAGGTCCTTATTTCCAACCCACTGTGGATATGTTTTATGCAATTATAGAATTGTTTTAGAATTAGAAAGGAAAGGAATTAGCTTTTGTGAGTCAAAACACTTCATTTTTATAGGTGAAAGAAGGCTAGAGAATGTGACTTGACCAAAGCTATGCAACTACAGTAGTCAGGACTTCGAGCTCTGTAAGAGAAGTGACCCTGTTTCTCATCACCTTGTATTCTGAGACTAGCGTATGCCTACCAAATAGTGAGCGCTCAGTAAGTGTGTGCTAAGTGAATGAAACAACTGGAATAATGAATGGGTAAAAAATACCTCTTTTAAGTACTCTTTCCTTTGCCATAAAGATCTCCAATTATTAAACAGATTTAAGATTCCTAATAAAAAGCTAGTCTAAAATGTTCAGGCATCATCATTTATCCATGTGTTATTAAAACTTAATTATTTAAAATGACTATTCTTTAATTTGTGTTCCATATTATCTAATATTCTCAACTTCTGCTCTCAACATTTTTCTGGTCTTTATACTTTTTGCCATTTAGGCAGAGGAAGAGGAGCTAAATGACAGATCTAGCTCCCAGATCTGTTCACCCACTAAACCTTTTACAATAGCTGTTATCTGGTCCCAGCTGTTGCGCTAAATTTAGGATTTTGGATTATCTAGAAGTGTTCTTTCTGTCTCCCATTACCAAGGTTAATTGAGAAGTGATTGTACAACAAGTAAAATTTCATAAAGGAAACTACATAATACAGTATTCAATAACACCAAAGTCAGATCCATGGGAAGTTAACATTTGTAGCAATTACATAGATTATGGAACTGTTGCCGTTTGTCAGAAGTTTCATCTTCATGATACCAGGACATTTCCCTGAAAATGAAATGTTACCTTCCTGAATGTTCTGCCCTGTTTGGGTTAGATACAGTCTTAAATTTAATCACTGCAGTTGTCAATGTAATTTTACTGTACATATCAAAACCTCTAGAAAATTGGTATTTTTCATAATTAAAATTTCTTATGTCTGATAGATGGCAAAAAAAATGCAATTTCCAATGTTGTACTTTACAAAAAAATTTTCTGATGTAAAAGTCATACTGTAGGGCTTTGGAAACCACAGAAGAGTACAAAGACTAACGCAAATCACCTTCAGACTTACCCTAATACTTTCCTGTTTTGATTCTTGTATGCAAAATTATTTCTAAAAAAAAAACAAAACTTTTTCAGATGAAACCAAAGAGCATTGCAAATATGTACTTTGTCTATAAACTGAGTAGCTAATAGCTTCAGCCTTGTTAGGACTGCTTTTTTTAATTACAGCAGATGCTTGTCATCTGTGCTTAAGTGATGACACGACATCACAACACGAAATGTCATCATGTCACATTGTTATAGGACAACAAAATTACAGCTCCTCAACAATAACACGGTGTCAAAAGTGTCCTCCTGCCATGAGTCAGTGCTTTAGATGTTGTAAAAGTTATTTTTAGCACAGCGAGTATCTCAGGAGCTTGGGTTCTGAATCCTACTAAAATCTCTAGTGATTTGGGAAATCTAGGGTGAGAGGGGCTTCTTGTTCTTTAACTCCTCACTCCTTGACGCGCATGGCTGCCTACTCTCCTGTCCCTCCCACATTAGACCCGGGTTCCACCATGTGCTGCAATCCACTCGGGCTCGGTCACAACCCAGAGCCAACATCCCAAATGGAGGAGGAGGAGACTATAATTATCCTTCACGTCTGGGGCAGGCCCTGGATGACATCTCCCCAGTTACCCCGTGCTCTAATAGCGCAGCTCCGAGTCCCGGTCCCAGACGCGCCGCAGCCGGCTCTCAGCGCGGGCAGGGCCCCGCAGCCTCTCCAGCCTCCCGGCCTCCGCCGGCCCCTCGCAGTTGCCATTCCCGCCCCCCCGCCCCCCGCGCCCGCCCGCCCTTGCAGCCGCTGGGCACCTGCACCGAAACCCAGGCCCCGGGGCTAGTGCCCCGGGGCGTGCGGAGTGTTACCATAACAACCGGGCGCCCGCCGCGGAGGCCGCCGGGGAGGAAGTGACGAGCGGTGGGTTGGCTGTTGTTGGGACACGTGACCCGGGCAGTGTTTTGACAGGGCAAACAGCAGAGAAAGAACTGGGCGAGCGAGGGGGATCGGGAGCTGGGGCGCCAGAGCTAGAGACAGCGGGCGGGCGAGGAGCTGGCAGAGGCGCGGGGCAAGCGGGCCGGCCGGGGCGACGGGCGGGCGAAGCCCGGGGGCCGCGGGGCTCGGGTGCGAGTCGGGCAGGGGGACGGGCTGAGCGCTGGGAGCGGAGCGAGGCGGCGGCTGAGGCGGGGGTGGATGGCCACAGGGGCGCCGGGGAGCCGCGTCGGGCTTGTGGTCTCGGGCCCCCATGGTCCTCTAACGCAGCCCGGGGGGCCGCTGCGCGCCACACTCCGCTCTCGCCCGCCCTGCGCCTCTCGGAGCCTCAGGTCTGAGGTGGGAGTGTGATGTGAGCTGCTGGGCGAGCGGCGGAGAGAAGTGCCAACAGAAGGAGGGTTTGGGACGGGAGAGGAGAGCGAGTTAGTCAGCAGAGGTCGGTGGAGGGAGCCATGAAAACAACTCTCCGGCGGGGAGAGGGGCAGGCGCTGCGCTCGGTGCGCCGGGGCTGAAGGAAATCCGGGGCCGTGGAGGGACGGAAGGGGCCCGCGGAGGGCAGGCTGCGCCGAGCAGGGGCGAGCGCCCAGCTGTAAACACCCGTCCTGGGGCCGACCTCAGGCCTGGCCACGCTGGGCTGGGGGCTTGGTCGGGGGGCGACCCGGGACAGCCCAGCAGAGTTCGTTTGGGGCTGGGGGGCTGGGCTCGAGGAGAGGACTCGGGTTTCTTTTGACCCTTTTATTGTGTAAACTTGGCCGCGGTTGCCACAGGAAGGCTAGCCAGAGGGTAATTACACAGGTGAGGCCCTGCGGGGCAGGCGGAGCTTCTGGCGCGGCGCTAGGGGTCTTGAAGAGTTTCCTGCGCCCAGGCACCAGGACTGAGAATTTCTCTACCAGCCCCTGCGGAGGTGCCACTGTTCCCAGCGGCGTTTTTTACGAAGGGGTTAGTTAGCTTGTGTTGCTTGAACCTTTTTTTTTTTTTCCTTGCCTGTACCTCCAGGTTATAAATAGATCTTTCTTTGGTTCAGAGACGCTGTGTCAGGGAAGGACACTTTGGCCTGGAGAGCACACGGGCGGGGAAGAGGTGCTGGGGCCCGAGGAGATGGGGGAGGCGGTGCACAGAGTTTTGCTTTTTTCAGAGCTGCCGATGGTGCTGTCACCGTAGTTAGTGCCGGGAAGAGGCCTGTTAACAGGAGGTTTCTTGCAAGGTCCGGGTGTCGGAGCAGGACTAGATTAATTTTATTTTGGTCCCTTTTAGCATTTTGAAAACCGAGCATTACCCGCAGAATCCGCGGCAAGCCTGTTGAAGGAGCCCCCAAGTGTACTTTACAGCACGCTGGGTGGAAACTGGATGTGAAAATGAAGCCAGACCGAGGTAAATGACTTACTTAAGTAGGATTTTTTTTTTTTCCTGTGCCCCATTTTATAAGTGTTAACCTAATTTTGTACCAGGATCAGTTATCTATTACATATGACTACTTGTTTCTGTTACAGGTTCCAGCTGGTGAGATAGAGAAGGGCATGTGGAAAAATTTAGGATCTAGATGGGAGGATATATTCTTCAGAAGTGTAAAGTAGTAGTTTCAAGAGATACTCTAGTGTAACTCAAAATGGGATTATCAGGAACGGCATTTGTATCTGTTGCCACAGTAGTTGGCATCATTTTAGATTTACAATACTCATTTTTAGGTAAAGTCAGTCTAACTTCAGCTTTAAAGTTTAAAAACGTTTTCACCTTGAGAATTTGAACCTGATAAATTGAGAAAATTTAGGATTGCGTTGACAAGTATTTTATTATGATTATTGCTTTTATTAGCTGATTTTTGTGCTTTAGGCAAACTCTAAAAGTTTGCAAAGTACTCCAGGGGCTTAATTAAATATCAGTATAAGTAAATGAATGGGTCATTTCCTTTCTAAACCTGTATTTTCTGGATTTATGAGAATGATGTATACTCTGTGTTTTTCAAGGACTTCAAAGGAATTAAAAACTATCAATCTTCTTTTGATTAATGGCAAGGACCAAGTTGAGAAGATTATTAATACAGTAGTAGTTAGGAGTGAAGGCTTTTTGGTCAGATGGGGGTTTGATTCTAAGCAACATTGTTGGAAGAGGATTATTGTATTTGGTAGGGAGCTGGACTAAATGACAAGAGTTAAGCCTTTAAGATTAGAAATGTTAATTTAGCCTCCTATGAATTAAATGCTCATTTTTAAAAAGATATGTAATAAACTGGTTGTTATGTCCATACTTTTTTCAAAGTGTATTAAAAGACAAATTTTCTTTTCTGGTTAAAATATGTCTTTGGTAATAGTGTCTTTTAAAACACACTAGAAAGAAGTGGAGAAAGCCATACTTACGTTAGTGGTTTAAATTAGTTTTAAGTGTTTGGCTGTTTCTTAAAATCAGCTATGTATGCATGAAATACTATCAAGTGTATTGTTACTAAGGAGGTTGCTTGTGTAGAATGAGAAGTTGAGACTTTTGGAAAGTTCTGACTTTGGAAAAATGGCCCCAAGATCAGTAATTGCATGTCAGAATAAACAAGCAAATAAAATCAAAGTTGCTATTTGTTTTGGATTTTTTTGTTGTTAAAATTTGCTTTAAGGTTGTAAACAGCTTAAAAAATAATATTTGCACACATCTCTATTTTAGCCCAAACTAGTACCAAACGCAATAAAATGTTTTATATATATATATAACATATATATCTCTATATCTCTGTGTGTATACACACACATACTATGGTATATAGTATATACTGTATCGTATATATACACACGTACATACTGATTACCAGGAAAAATAAATACATTTATTAAGACTCAAAGAAGTGACTTTTTTCTCTTTAAAATTGTAGCTTTCCTTAGCATTATGATGTAGAGAATTGCAACTTTAGTATTGAGACTATATTTCATAATAATAATATGGATCTTCAGGCCCATAGCCTTAAAGTAGTATCTTTTATTTTGCAAAATAGTATAGATAAACAGAAATAAGCTTTTCACAAAACATACTTACCCTTACTATGTGAGTGTGGTCTTGTATTTTCTGTTCTACTTTCTATTTTTAAAATTTGCTGTCACAACCCACTGAATTGATTTCTTGACCTGCAGTTGGAAAGGCATAATGATGGGCAATACTTAGCTAGATGACAGTAATATTTCACTTTTTTCTACATTGGTGTCTAAGAAACTGTGAGTTTTCTGTATAGTTAAAACTTTACTCTTTAAATGTCAAAAATATATTTTCAATTGTGGACAGACCTCTAAAATAGGGCTAGAAATGCCCAATAGAGCTATTTAAATTTGAGAGTTCGTTGTTGTTGTTGTTGTTTTGCCTCTAGCTTAAATCACTTCAGCCTGTTTTTTTTTTTGTAAGATCTGATTTTTAAATTCTCATGCTATCAAAAGTCTTTGTTGTTAAAATGTTTATTCTTGCCTCCTTTTAATTTCACTGCTTTTAGTCTCTGGGTTAGAGAACTCAGTAACCATACTTAACACTGAATTCTCTATAAAATAAGAGTAAATAGGAGAACCCTTCAGATTTCCTTCAGAATCTGAGTAAAGTGTATGAATTCCAGTGTAGAGAGAGACTGAGATATTTGCTTAGCGAGATACAGCTGCGCTTCAGAAAGTTTCTAAATAACTAGTTGCTTGACTAGTTTAAAAAGTCGGTTTAAGTGAGAAACCATAAAAATAACAGCTTTAATTATTTCACCCATCTTTTTTTCTATGCTCAAGGTTCTTTTGGGGGGTAAAATGGGGTCTGTTTCTTGAAGTTACATATGATCTTTCTTGTATAAATCACACCAATAATATACACCTAAGATTTCTAGTCCCCCCCCACCTTCCCCTGAGATTTCTAGTTTTGATTTCTTAAAAGTAGAATAAGACTTTGCAGAGCAATCTGAGGATGTATCTTTAACATTTAAAATCATTTTAAAATTATTAATGTTTCACAAACTCTTATATGTGTCTTGTGTACACAGAAGTCAACAGGAAATTGTTTTGGAGGAAGAAGGAATATATATTCATCAAATATGTTCTTTCCAAAGCATTCAGCAGTTTTCACAGAAATAACTTTTTTGCACTCACTTCATTGGTTTATATAATATTTAAATAAATTAGTTATTATAAATAGGGTGTCATAGACAACTTTTGAGAACAAACACCAAATTCTAGTTAAGCATACAACTCAACTAGAAGAAATAGAAATGTGCAGACAACTGGAAAGTGACCTATTCGCTGCTATTATCTGCCAGTTTGCTTTATGGAGGCTATGGAAAGCATTGGTGGATCTTGGTAACTGATTAAGGGAAAGTCACTTAGGAGAGCTCCTACTGTACTTTCAGATAACTAAGATGTTACTTTATAGGATAATAGCTACATTTCACAGTAGTTATAGTATTTTACCATAGTCTGAGGTAAAAAAAAAAATTGGGGGGGAGGGGAAGAGAGAGAGGGAGAGAGAATCTTAAACAGAAACAGACTCCATGCACAGCACCAAGCCTCACTAGGGGCTGGATCTCACAACCCTGAGATCATGACCAGAGCCAAAATCAAGAATTGGATGTTTAACCAACTGAGCCACCCAGGCTCCCCTAAAAAATTTTTTTTTTAATTTTTAAGTAGTTACATAACATTACTTGGGCAGTGCAGCCAAAGATGAGTCTTTGATGTTATCATTAGCACATCAGACCTACGTTTGTTCCTTGTTCCATTACTTGCTAGCTGGGTAATCATCTATTTACTTAATCCCTGAGAGTCTCAGGTTCTGTGTACAATGGGAATAAGCCTAACTTCTTATAGTTGTTAGAATGAAATATGACCATGGTTAGCACATAGTAGGTTTCAAATAAATGGTACCTTTTATCATGTTAAGACATTTTAGATGCTTAATGGTTGGCCAGTTACAAAATAATGTTCAACAGAGGAAAAATAATCAAATGTGCAATAACCTCATATTTTGTTCTGTTTAGTATTCATAGTGTTCAGTCTGCTAAGGCTCAAGCAGATTTAATCGGCTTTTAATATGTAGTCATCTGAGGAAACATAAAAGCTATGAAAGGATGCTTCACATATATGTATAATTTCTTTATACTTCATTTGTTATTGTAATTATAGCTTAAAATGTAAGGGGTGGAATGGGTGGACTAAGCTTCCTGGGAATAGATTTTTAAATATATTAAATGCATTAACTGCTGACCAGAGCTGGGCAGCTGGGAGGTCAACAATGTTACTCTACCCAAGGATGCAAAGTTTGGACCTAGTCCTAGATAGATATTGAATACCCAGTATTAGAAGTCTAAAGCGTGACTTTTGCATAGAAACAATGAAAATATTTTATGTTTTAACGTTTAATAATTATTTGTGTTATATATGTGTGGTATTCCTGAAGTCCTAAATTTTTGGTATTGTATGAAAATCTAAGTAGAATAAAAAATCTTTTTAATTAAAAAAATGTTCGCTTGCTATGCTTTATGCTTTCGTTAGAAACAGTTTTTTCACTAGACAATTCTAAGGTTATCTGAGCTTATCAACAATTACAAAAGACTAAGACCTATAAAATCTAGTAAATCATCAATAAATTAATTTAAACATACTGTTTCAATTCATATTTGAATGCATATTATAGACCATTTATCATTCTTAAATACTATTAGTGTAAAACCTGTTCCACAAACAAAATACCAAACAATTAGATGTTTTCTGAAGTTAAAACTGAGAGGAGTAGTCTTAATTTTTCCCCGTGTTATAGATTGAATGTTTGTGTCTCCTCCCCCTTCTCTACCAGATTCATGTGTTGAAATCCTAACCCCACAAAGTGATGGTGATAGGAGGTGGAGACTTTGAGAGGTAATTAGGTCATGAGGCTGGAGACCTCATGAATGGCATTAGTGCCCTTATAAAAGTGGCCCAAGAAAGCCCTTCCATCATCTGAAGTTATGGTGAAAAGACAGTCATCTATGAGGAAGCCAGCTCTCACCAGACTGAATCTGCTGGTGCCTTGATTGTGGATCTCCCAGCCTCTGGAACTGTGAGAAATAAGTTTCTGTTGTTTATAAGCCACTTAGATTATGGTATTTTGTTACAGCAGCGTAATGAACTAAGACTCCCCCCTCATCCTTTTTATTGCAATGCAAGTTTAGGCTTTAGCCTTAGTATTTTATTTTTTTTTTAAGGATTTTATTTCTTTATTGGACAGAGAGAGACACAGCGAGAGAGGGAACACAAGCCGGGGGGAGTGGGAGAGGGAGAAGCAGGCTTCCCACATAGTAGGGAGCCCGATGCGGGACTCGAACCCAGGACCCTGGGATCATGACCTGAGCCGAAGGCAGACGCTTGACAACTGAGCCACCCAGGCGCCTGGTAT